GTACAGATATGCTTTCTTGTGAACTTTTCAATTTTATGTCTACAAAGAGATTTTAAAATTCACACAAATACAGTTCGGTAATAAAGAGATTGTTGATACAAACTCAAAATAGGAGCACTGAAATTCTGAGATAATTTAACAAATACCGTGACATTCAAAATGTTCTAAATTTATTCAGACTAATAGCTCTATTGCAGAGAAGACTGATTAAAATAGTTAAAGAGAGAGACTGAATGATTTAACAGATAATAGAAATTTCTTCTCTGGTGCTCACATTAAGTATAGATATTTCCTTTAGCGGGATGCCAAATCTGCAAACTTTTCACCTGATCCCTTGGGAACTATGTGGGAAACTACCAACCTCTCCAGTCTATTGTGTCTCTTTGTCCAGGTCAGTGCATCCACTGGAAAAATAGATCTACAAGCTATTTTAATCCTAAAACTATAATAACCCTCCCAGGGAAGCAGACACTTCTCTAGACTTTCCTTCTTTTCAGCGATAGTGGGATTTGAGCACGTGAGTTTAACCATAGTAAATGTAATTTTTTTATAGCAGACTACTTTTCTACCTCAGAATTTGGGGAAATGACTGACAATAAAGTCTGATTTAAAAGTTCATTCTGGATAGATTTTTAAAAACAGTTTATTAAGAAAACTTTTTGACTGACGATTTTAATGGAGGGTGATGGTAAAAGGACAAGGTCTCAAAATCAAAAAAGTTAGACTGTCTGATTTCAAAATAAGCTATGTGATAGCAGGCCGTTTATCTTCTCTGAGTCTCTGTTTCCTTGGCTGTGAACAGGGGTGACATATGAGTATCAACATCAAATGTGATAATACATGTCAAACAAATAGATAAACTCTGGCACACTGTAAAAACTCAATAAATGTATTTGCTATTATTATTAAAAATAAAAATATTTCATTGGAAAATCTATACCATTTTTCTGAATGTCAATCTTTTTCCCATTTTTATAACTTGTCAAATTCAAATTATTAAATTCCACCAGTCTTTAATTTGTACAAAAAGATTATTTGCCTTTCAAATTTCCAGGTTTCCTGGACTCACTTCTCATTGGCTAGAAAAATATTTCTTTGGTTCCCAAACCAAAAAAGTGAATGTTTTACTAATATGTGTTGAAGGAAGCTAACATGCACCAAGATTGTCTTCAAAAGTTATGCCTCATGTGTGCTTTAAAAGATATAGCTCAGTCACTTATATTTCTAGTAAAGTTACTTCATGTGTACTCTCCCAGCACCTAGCATGTTGCTTTGAAACTGTCTGAAAAAAACTTTTTTTGAACTTATCTGCCTTCCTGTAAAGTTCTTACTATCGGTGACTACGAATCTCCAGCATCCAGCACAGTGCCTAGTAGGTTCTGAATCATAGCCACATGAGCCATAGCAAGGGATTTCAACCTACTCCAAAACACAGGCAAGGGCTCGATTTTATGCCTAGGAATAGAAGACAGATGGTAAAGATCCCTGTCATGGGACAGGTTGAGTTCCTTGGGGAGCATATCTGAGTTGAAGAAAAGCAATGAGGAAGTTTATTAGGAAGTGCTCTTGGGATTAATACCTGTGGAAGGTAAATGAAAAGAACAGGGCTGGGCAGAGGGAGACTTTGGGCTGTGATATAGTCTCAACTTCAGTTGACCGTACAGTGAGCTCTGAACTGGGATGAGCCTTCAGAGATGTCCCAAGTTTTCATGAGAGGGCTAGGTTTTATATCCCCATACGCATCAGTCATAGAATTCAGCTTCCTTGGGGAACATAGCTCTCTTCAGCCCAGGTAATCTCCCAAAGAGACCTGGCAGTTGAGACCATAGCAACACTCCTAGCACCTAAAGAGAGCTCTGGATGTCATATCACAGTGACCACCCCAACCCCTATCCACAACTCAGTAATAAGTTATTTGAATTATCTCCAAAGGAGCTTTATTTCCATTTATTGGAAGCCTATGCTGACCCTAGTCAATTGCCTTCATTCGTTGGTTGAGTAAAATATTTACTGAAATTTTTGCAGGTGCCAGGCAAAGAAACAGTAATTAAGACAGACCCTTTCCTCAAGATGTATATAGAGTGATAGGGAAGACAGGCAAGTAGAAATTTTTGCTTCCCCACTCTCAGTGACAAGCAACAAGCGACAAGCTTCATAAATGAAGCTTTGAGAGATTCTCCTGTGGCAGCCACAGTTATCTGCCTGCCACTTATTCCCTTGCTTTTCTCCACTCTCTTCTCCAACCCATAATAAAGTTTTGAGAGTTTATAAAAAAGCAGGTAGGTAGCCCAAGAACTAAGAAATCACCAATAATCTTGGAACAGGTAGTACTGGATACTACTATGGACAACAGTGATTTAGCAAAACAGAGACAAAAGCAGCCCTACTTAACAGCTTCTATAAAAGACCTCAGGTACTTTGTCAATATGGTCTTAGAGTCAACAGTTGGAAAGTTACTGCACCAGCTCTGAAACTTGAATATTAATTCATATGCATTGTGAAACACACCTTGAAAAAGATGATTTGGGGAATTCCCTAGCCATCCAGTAGTTAGGATTAGGCACTTTCACTGACAAGGACCCAGATTCAATCCCTGGTCTGGGAACTAAGATCCCACAAACCACATGGTGTGGCCAAAAAAAATCCCACCAAAAAGCAAAAACAAAACAAAAAACACACAAAAGATGATTTCTTAATGTTCACTAATAGCCACATCCTATCCACACATATTCACTGCTTCTTTCTTAGTGACTAGTTGTCTTATTACAATGTTTTATGTGTTTAAAACTCATTTCTAATGTCTGTAAAATAGGACAGCACTGTATTCAGTTTAACTTTAACAGTTCAATTAAATTAAAAGGTTGACTATTTTGCATGTAGATATAATATGTATTTTCTTATAATTAAACCAACTAGAACCAAAATGGCATGGGCAAAGAGATATATATTTATACTACATGAAGAGCAATTTTACCATCTCTATATTTGACATTCTAGAGACCTCTGAACTTTATGAAAGTTATATGAAGTTTAATTTTTGAAACAAAGATGGTTAAAATTTCCCTAATTTTACATGTGGTCATTGCTTACTAGCTTATTCTTTTATTTTTTCTGTTTTTATATATTTGGTGGATTTTGGTAAATAGAATTTTTTAAGAAAAATTATTATTTTTGTTCAAAACAACACACAATAATTAGGAAAATCCAAGCAATATAGAAAATTGCAATGAAGATGGAAAAAAATGCTCACTACAAATCATATTAAGTAGGTATTTTTAATGAAGTAAAATTATCAACCAATTCCAAACATTTATGTCAGGCACCTAACATTGAGCACCACACTGAGTATTCAGAGGATGCAGACAAAGAATAGACTTTGCCCTCCTGAAATGGATAGTCTATGGGGAGGTCCACCAAAAACTTACAAAGTAGTATCTGACAAGTTACATACCAATAAATAGAGAGTTGGCATTGGCTATTTCCTGTTTCCTAAATAAATGCTTGCATTAATGCACAACCAAACTAGTGACCTTTGTCTCAAAATAAATAAGAAAATGTTTTCTGAGTCATACTAAACATCCTAATAAGATGTCTGGCCCTCTTAGTTTCATCCCATTATTAGTGCCTATAAACTGAATGATTCTAAATTGAGATATTTCAAAGATCTAAAAACAAGATAAGTTAAAGGACATATTATACAGGCATAAAGAAGCTGAGATTACTTGCCTATAAGGTAGAATGATACATTTTATATTAAATTTTATATTTTTTAATGGACCTAAAAGGACAACATTTTTTTGAAGTGTGAGAGTCTTTCCTATAATTTGGTAGAACTTTCGGCATTTATGCTGAACTTAAGGTTAATCTAGACTGCAGATTCTTGGTCTAAAATCCAGAGATGAGGGTTCATGCCTGTACTTCAGGGGATTCATCAGCTTCTGGAAACTAGATGAAATATAGTGTTGTAGGTTCATTCTTTAACGGTGAAAATGTAGTGATTCTAACAGATTCTCAAAGTCATTTTGAACCCAATACGTTTAAGAGACACTGGTTTCTATTTCAACTCCTTATTTTAGTGACGAGGGTGCTAAGTTCCAGAAATGGCTGAGGGAGTTGCTGGGGACCACAGCTAATTAGCAGCTGAGCCAGGAATAGAACCCATACCTTCAGTGAGGCCATCAATCCAGCTCCCTTCCTCCCTGCACACAATAGATAGATTATATTCATCTTAAAATGGGATCTGGAGTCCTTCTTTCCGAAAAAAAAAAAAAATGAGCATTGAAGTTACGAAATGAGATCTAAGGAGAAATGTCATAGGGTCACTAAATGGAGATCATCGAATAGAATTCAAGACCTGGACTCAAGCAGCAGACGTTCTTTTAGCAGAAACCAAAAATTTGAGAACTGATATTCACTATTACTGGTCAATTTCCACTGTTCTTTGTGAATTGTCTTTTCCATCTCTCTTTCCACTGTCTTACAATTGTCTTGAATTTCCCTTCCTTTGCATCTCTTAATAAGCTTTCTCCTCAGACTTGGGAATGCATTTTTTCCTTCTATCCTTTCCACTGCATTCATATTTCTCTAGTTTCTTTTATTCTACATGAAATGTATGTCTCCATGTGTGCCATTCTGTGTTCCCTGAGAGGAACAAGACCAGATCTGTGGCACAGAAAAGATGAAGGGGTCAAGCCACCAGGATGAGTCTGCTTCTATGTCTAGCAGATGAGAATTGGTCAAATAATCCCTATCTGAGCTTCCTATGCATGCTTGCTGTGGTCATCTCCCAGACCAGAGAACCAGTCACTCAAGGACACCCAAGCACTGGAAGACACAATGGCACTTTGTAGGGGCAAAGTATCAGAAAGGGAAAATCGATTATAATGTTTTTCCTTTCGTAGTTTTCTAGGTAATAAAACTATGTTAAGAAAACCTAAGAGCAGGAAATGTGAGAGACTTGCTTTCAAGCTCCTTACAACAACTTTTTAAATCTTTTCTAGTTGGCTCATGTATTACCCACAGAAGAGAACTTCCTGCTGCTCTTCCGATGCCAGCAGCTGAAGTCCTGTGAGGAATTCATGAAGGTATAAGAAAGCTCTGTCACTGAATAATGTTTTCAGAAAGCTACTTAAAATAGGAAAATGGCTGCCTTTTTTTTTTAATATATTTGGTTTTCCTTATCCAAAATAATTTACAGACATGGAGAAAATATGATACTGATCACAGTGGCTTCATAGAAACTGAGGAGCTTAAGGTAAGCAAGTAAAAACATGTAAGTTTTTTCCTGTCAAATATAATTATGAACTTTGTAGCTTTTTAAAAAGCCTCCCACAAAAGAAACTAATGTTGAGCAATGGCGCATTTTCACCCACTCTTCCAGTTGTTAATAAAGAACCAGATCAAAAAAGAGACTTCAAGTACTTCTTGAAATTCTGTTCAGCAATGTAAAATTAGCATTCTCTGTGATACATACAAATTATTATATGAGGTAGCTGATAGATAGATAATGATATACTAAGCCAAATAAGTTGGTTATTTTCATTAAAATTTGGCATTTTATTTTATAAATGAAACAGCTATATAAATAGATTTCTCTTTCAAGATAAACAATTATTGGACACCTACTGTATGCCAGGTGCTTTACACACATTTAATCTTCACGTGAGTTCTTTGAGATTAGTATTACCCCTGTGAGGAAAAAGTTAAGAGAAGTGATGTACTGAAGGCTACACAGAAATAAGACATAGAACTGTGATCTTTAAACTCATCTGTTTCCAAAACCCCTAGCTTACTGCCTCTCAGTAACAGCAATAAAAACAAAGTCCTAATATAATCAAACTTCCGAAAAACTGCAACTTTGAAACTAAATTTATCAATTCATATCTCACAGATGTATATAAGAGCTGGTGGGGGAGGAAGAAGATATGAAGGAAAAGACAAAGAGGTCTGAAATCAAGTCTTATCTCTGGACAAATCTCTATATCATTCTGCCTGATTTATTTCATCTTTTATGTGGGGGTAATAATACCTTCCTTTCAGATTTATTGTGAAGGTCAAGTAAGATGTTGCACATGGAAGATTTTGTGAAATACAGGCACAGTATAAATTATATTATTCATGAACTCAATAATTTACTAGCCTTCAGAAATATAGAAGCATCTTTCTCTCATTTCTTTAAATTGACCTCAATACTTCTCAGTCTGGAAGACTCTATTTTCTCTATCTTCATGGTATAGAGTGACTAAAAGGCAAGCAAATTAATAATTACTGAGCACCTACTATGTGGCAGGCATAGTACTAGATGCCTAAAATATATTTTAACATTTAATCCTCACAGAATAGTTACAAGGGAGGTATTATAATTCCCATTATACAAACAAAGAAACTGAAATTCAGAGAGATTAGATAATTTTTAAAGAGTACACAGCTGCCTGGGAAAAGAACCTGGTTTTGGACACAGAATATCTGATAATGATAATAATGTTTTTTTTTTCCCCACAAGGCCAAACATTTTCAAGCTTCAGTCATCAAGAACTACCTCTTCTGCTATTATGTAGGGAAACATGAATATCAAACACAGTTTCCTGGTCATAGTTTAACATGGTTTGAGTTACATATATTTGTACCACTGCAAAATTGCTAAAACATATTTAACTAAAAACACTTACAGGGACTTCCCTGGCCCTCCAGTGGTTAAGACTTCACGCTTCCACTGCAGGGGGCATGGGTTCAATCCCTGATAGGGGAACTAAGATCCCACATGCCTCGTGGCACAGCCAAAAAACTAATATTTTTAAATTTCTTTAAAAATTTTTAAGAAAGGGAAATAATAGTAATAACATCTTAAAAAATAAAAACACTTAGAAATGTAAACATTTTTCATGTGAAATCACCAAAAACAATGTCTTTCACAAATTTGCAACTCAGCAACCCACAAGGTTACCCACAAGGTGACAGTTAAACTATTGTGTTTTTATTCTATTGGACCAAAAAAAAATTCTTCCAAATATCATTTCAAGTTCATAATGAAACTTTAGCTCATTTCAAATACTGGCCTTCTTTATTCTAAATTTTATTCTCAGAAGAGATTCTAAATAGAAGTACTCCTCTCTGGGGAATTTTGAAGATAAGTTGGCATTCTTTTTTAATGGATCTTTCAAGAAAGCTAATTTTAAGATCCGTAATAGAGTAAAACATTGCTTGCTCTCAGACACGACTTTGAATCTCAGCATCCCGAGGTTTCTCCCAGGCTATTTTTGTGACCACCGTTTTAGTCTCTGATGAGGATTTTTAACCCAATTAGTCTCTGACAAAAGCCTCATATGGTTCAAAAGTAAAATTCACCCCCCAACAGATAACTTTGAATTTTCCATGCTTTACTTTGAATTTGAAGTGGAATGTTTGAAGTGAAATTAAATTTATCAAACCAAGAAAAAGGTCTCCTTCCTTGAAAATAATGAAGTTAAATCAGCCCAGCAGAGCTAGAAAATCTGGGAGGGAGATAACTGAAAAACTGAAGAAACCCAACCCTTCAATAATGTTTGGACATAATATCTGCTCAGTTTTCCATAATTGCATTAATTCATTTTCTGAACAAATAAAGAAGTTGCAAATGAACAGCACTAGACAAAATGAAAGACTTTTATATTAAGTACTTACACTGTCATTTATATGGCAAGTTTTTGAAAGCTTTAATTTATTTCTCTGGTAAAAAAAAATTAAATTCACTCCTAAACTTCAACTGTCAAATTAATAATCATCTTTTTTCATCCTTCCCACATTAATCTCTACTTTGATGTGATTCATATGTCCTTCAAAGATTAGGTAACATCTGCAGCCAACTGTTTTAGTTTGAACAGTCAGCTGAAACATTCTAACCAAGGTGATTTGTACCGCATCAAGCCTAAAAGCCCTCTGGTGAAATGTACTTCATATTGGCTATAAACTGATGTGGAAATACAGCTTGTGAGGGCAGAAAATGCACTTGAAATTAAGGGTAGGTCTCCACCTTCTTTACTGATAATTGTTCACATATCTTACAAAGGTTTAAGGGGGTCCCTTGTGTTTCTTGGAGAAGAGTTACATGAGTATTTGTGAAGATAGCATTAGGTAGAAATGCATCCATTGGGCTGGCTGGTTTTACAAGTCTTTACTCTGATTCCTACATGGTGTACAATCCAGATACTTCTTTAATTGAAATCATAAAAGCATAGCATAGCATAGCAGACTGTGACAGATCAGTTTTCAGTCAAAGAGAACTGCTGGAACGCCAAGAGTACCTCCCTTCTAAGCTCCTCCAGTTACCCGGTTCTACCCTCAAAAAGAGACTTCCTTTGTATTCCTGGGGTGTTCCATTTCAAGGCAGGCTGAAATGAAAGCAGATTGTTTGTTACTGATGAAATTTATCTGACTTTTTTGTCTTAACAGAACTTTCTAAAGGACCTTCTGGAAAAAGCAAACAAGACTGTTGATGATAAAAAACTAGCTGAGTATACAGACCTAATGGTAAGACTGATCTTGAAAAGACTACAGCCAAGAGCCTATGAAATATTACTGTGTTCTGGCTAATTCCCAAGTCTACACAGGATGAAATAAACAAGCCATGGTGTGGGCATCACATTCACATAGGTATCATTTCACTTCAAAAGTGAAATACCTAGGGATGCTTATACCTTGTAAGGCTGAAAGCTACAAGTGTATTGTAAGGCTGGCTTTAAGGCTCAGCATATGAGCATTTCCTTTCTTGTGGAGGTAGGTAATTTTCATCTATCAAAATATCACTTGTTTTTCTTACAAACCAGTGTAATTATATCACATATATATGTAAGTTACATTATAGATATATAAATTATATCACCAAAAACTCATTTATTATAGAGATTCTGAATCCATTTTTATCATGTCTTAGGAAATCATTGATTTTGTTAGAGTTTAAAGAAAACTTCTGGCTACCTTATTCACTGAGTGACTAAAAATGGATATTTCCTCCTTCTTTCTTTTGAATCTTGTTATTTTGGAATATTGTCTTGGTGCTTTGGGTGAGGAAGTCCAAATACACCCTGAGCTTGATGCTGTGGTAAATAGTATAACCAAAAACTATTTTAGAATATTGATAATAGAGTGAAGAAAATTGCTTTACACATAAGCACTTAATGTTTGAAGAATGAATGAATAAATTTATAAAATTCCAGATAAAATAATACAATGCCCATGAAGTTAATTAACTTCCAAGTGGGTAAAATTTGTTCATTTTGATTCACAGCATTAGGACTATGAGGAAAAAGCCTTTGCCAAACTGATTAAGCCATGGCCCAATATTTTGGCAACATTATTTTAATTGTTTAATTCTTGAAATTCAGACAGTTTTAAATTATCCAGATCAGTACATATATTTATACACACTTTAAGTACTATAAATGTACAGTGAATTCTTACCTCATTGATATAAATAACTTATAAAACATAAGTGCCTATTATAACAATTATGTTATTTTAGACCAATAAAGGAGTTCGAATTTTTTCCTGAGAAATAATTTTATAAAGAGTTTGATCATATTTGATGTAACTGAGGTTTACTTTCAGCCTGTCAGCCTACTTTTATGTGGGGGAAAAAAACCCACTAGAACTTTACTATTGCCCTATTCAGTATATAGTGATATTTATTATAAAGTGGGACTAATCTTTAGTTTCAAAGCAATCAAAAAAGTTTTCACTGTAAGGAAGTGTCCTCTTTAATTCCTCATTACATTGCCACTTACCACAGCACTAACATACACGTGTTACAATGGGCAGATCTACACTCTGAATAACTTTTGGGAAATGGACAATAACCTACATTTATCAATTTTCTGTTTTGCGCCAATCTTAAAGGATGTCTACTTAAAGACTCCTTTCCAAGTAGAAATTTGAAGCAGCCTTTTTAAAACCACTCAGATGGGAGTTTTCCCCCTGTTGAATTGGCCTGGCCTATCTGGTTAAATGTCATAAACAAGCTCAAATCCAGGAAGCAGATTAATCAAGAACTAATTAAAATTTAAATATATTTGTAGGGAAATATTTCCCTGGGGACACTAAACTGTGTGATCTGGTGTCCAGTATCTTGGCAGACACCGTGACAATTTAGAACTTTTATAGTCAATGGACTATAAAATGTTGCATTAGTAACAGATCCTGAAAAAATCTACCTCCTACAAAGGATTGTTAGAACATCTCAGACCACAGAATGCCCTTCTTTTTTTCCCTAAAGAGACCTCATCAAACCTATATCCCTTATGATCACACTCCTTTCTTTAAAAACAAAAATAATGCCACTTTCTCACATATTTTATATATTTTGTTTTATATGTAGTCCTTCTATATAAAATATTAGAACAGTAGTTGCAACTTTCTAAAATGTGAATGCTTCCCAAATATGGGTATGAATGTGTTTATACCTGGCTGTGTCTTGGTATATGATGTGTATGTAAGTGCAATGGGGAGGTAAGGAGCTTTATTGAGTACCTAGTACCCAAGGCAAAATAAAACAATTCAAACTTACTCAAAAATTTGTTCTCTGAGGATTTATTCATATTATCTGCTTATTCTGATTGTACTCTTTGATGCTCTAAAAGAGAGAAACAAATTAAATATTAATTTTCATACTATTATTTGGAAAGTTTCAGGATGTGCTATGTACTGCCAAACACCATCTATCCCACATCTTGATACATATAAACACATATTTGCAAGAAAAATAAATGATTATGTTCCAGAAGCCTAGCCTAAGATCACTATTACTCTGACTATTCTATATTGTTATGGTAAATTTTGGCAATTGACACAGGTCATAGAATAGAAATTTTGCACTGAAAGTTTAATAGATGCTAGTTTCTAGAATTCTGCTGTCTACATAGGTAATTGATAACTCAAACTGCTTTATTTTGAATTTCCTTCTCCTTAATGCAATAAATAATTCTTCAATGGCTACAGTAATGCATTCTGTCTTTCAGCTGAAATTGTTTGATTCAAATAATGATGGGAAGCTGGAATTAACTGAGATGGCCAGGTGAGTTTAGGAACTATGCAAATATTATTATAAAAAGCTGATCCTTGTCAAAAATCTAATGTATTATAATGTTTTTCTCTCAAAAGGTTACTGCCAGTGCAGGAGAATTTTCTTCTTAAATTTCAGGTATTTCTCTTTTTCTCTACCATAAATAATATTTTTCTCAAAAGGTTAGAATGTGGGATATTTGCCAAGGGAAACACGATGGAATATAATAGTTGCATTTTAATCTTTGCTCTCTTCTCTATCATTTAGGGAGTCAAAATGTGTGGGAAAGAGTTCAATAAAGCTTTTGAGTTATATGATCAGGTAAAAAATTTTTCTTATCTATAATTTAATTCTTTAGAAAAATTTGGAAAATGCTCAGGAAGGGTTAACCTCAAACTCAAGGTTATATTAAAAGAAACATGAGCTATTAAAATTACTCAGCCAATTTATTCTTGTCATGGGAAATGAGTTATGTTATATCCCGAATTAGACAAATTTGATTCAAATCCCATGCAACAATTTATCTCCTGTGAGGCTTTGAATAAGATACCAAACTCCTCTGATCCTCAGTTTCCTCATTTGTAACCAAGAGATAATAATACTCACTTTGCAGGGTAGAATGAGGATTAAGCCAATGAAAATATCCAGCAGAATCCTCCCATTAAGTGTATGGTAAGATCATGTGTGTGAGGAAAGGTTGTGTATGATGTCACTAGTTAACATGTTTTGTTTCTTCTAATTTCTCTACTCCTGGACCAAATCAGTCCTCTGCAGGCTCTAGTACAGCCTTTCCACTGCCTGATGTGACATCAAGCCAGTGATATAGGTTCCCCAAGCCTATGTCCTCACTCATATTAAAATATTTGAAATTTGAAATATTTAATGAAAAATTTTAATGAAAATATTTAATGAAAAATTTAATGAAAATATTAATTACTTCAACAGAAGGTGGTGATATTGTTAACATAAAGTGAAATATTAAATGTGAAATCACTTTGAAAATTTCAAAGCATTTTACAAATATAAGATGCTGAATGAGAGGGAATTCATATCTATTTTGGAACTTGGGAACAGTTAAAAATTTGAGTGCCTGACCTAAGAGGTTAGAATATCTGCCAAGTTTGCAGTAGGAAGATTTTCTGAGGATTTCAATTATTTCCAATTTACTACATTCTCCATTATTATGGATGAGTTTGCTTATATACTGTTTTATTACTCCTCCCTTAGGATGGCAATGGATACATAGATGAAAATGAACTGGATGCTTTACTGAAGGACCTATGTGAGAAGAATAAACAGGTAATCTAGTTACCTTGCCACACTTCTTAAGCAGACTTGATGGATCCATCTAGAAGCAACCTCACATCCATTTTGGAGAATCTACTTTAAAAATTTATAGAGGAGCAGAAGTAGATTTCAGTTCTTAACCTGATTTGGTACTAGCCTGAATCAGTGTTTAACTGTGATAAATAGATTTCAAAAACAACCTTGTGATTTATCCACATTTGTATAAGAATTTAATCCAGCTCTTTTCTTGATGGATTGATGTAACAAGCAGTTTCATCTCACATTTTATCACTTGACAGTGGTTAATTCACTTCCATGTTTAACTGGATTATAATACATTCTGTGTTCTATATAGGATCTGGATATTAATAATATTCCAATGTACAAGAAAAGCATAATGGCTTTATCGGATGGAGGGAAGCTGTACCGAACGGATCTTGCTCTTATTCTCTCTGCTGGGGACAACTAGAATTGACGCCCATGACCACTTACTAGCAGTACATTGTATCTAAAAAATAACTGTGCACTATAAGGGAGTAGGCTGTATTTTGTTTTGTATCTGTAAATTTAACTGCATATAGATAATTATCCAGGATGTGTGGCACACTCTTTTCAGTTTGTTTCTATACTCTTTGTAACGTACATTTTTTGTACATTTGAAAAGGAGAATGTCTATGCTTAGGCCAGTCAATACACCCAATTAAAATAAAATAATCTAACATATTCTTGCTTCCATAAATATAGTTGGACAAGATTTCCCTAAAAACTCCACCAGGATTAATCTCTAAAATCCTAGTCTCTGATATGTAAATGCATTTGTCACTGAATAGAAGAATTATACATACATAACAAGCCAAGCATTCTTATTTCAGACAATTGTAAATCTGCCCCACAAAGTAGTTCTAAGCTGTGTTTCCAATTAGAAGAAATGTGCTTTTGTATCTAAAATACCAAAATATCAATCGTTAGCTAACTATGGCTCTATGTGGTTAACAGTCTCACTAGGCAAGATTTAGTCAATTAACCAACAACACACCTATTGCTTGAATCCACACCAATCTATTGGTTCAAGTTGATTTGATGACAAGGAAAGGCAGCAGCAGACAATGCATAAATCTGTCTTCTTCTACGTTTGTATTTCCGAGTCTACTGTCAGAGTATGACCTTAACCCATTTTCTAAACAGTTTTCATGTGTTGCAGACTATAATTATTCTAGTAAACTGCTGTTTTTATGTCACAGTCTATGTACTATCTGATTAAATTATATATATCAGGTATCCTGGTGTTTAGTTTGCATTCTTTCTGGATTTTCTTTTTATGTAGAACTGTTCATTTCCACCAAGGGTAACTGCTGCCTCTGAATTTTTTTTTTTTTTCTAGCTACAACAACTCTATTTTTACTACATAATTGAATTTTAATTTAAAATTCATAGCACCCTGATTGTTGAATGTTATATCATCAATAATTTTGTGTATTCTGTGAATTCTATATTTCATTTTGAGATCAGCATTCAAAATAGTTCTATTTCTATCTGCGAATAGTTTCAAATGAGTTAAAAAGAACATCTCAGGAGAAATGCTAATGCAATCATTTATCTTATGTAGCAAGGGTGACTCTAAAACATTCTTTTGACCCACATCCAAGTCATAATTTCATATATTTGTAGCTAGAATACACTATACTGGTTATAGTTGACATGTTATGGTTGGCGATTTCTCATTTTTTGATGTGAACCAGGGAACTATGAGAGATGTGTCTCTTTGAAATTTATAAAGTTACTGCCGAAGAGTTAATGGTTCTGGGTCACTTTGAATGTCCCCATTCTATAAATTCTGCACTGATTTTCTCAATTCATATAAATAACAAAAAAGTGAGGTCTCTCTTTCCCTAAAGAATGAACAGAAAAGAGATTGCCAAAAAATAAAATTTCTCATATGATGGCGGTAGTAGACTGGCTTTGCTTCTAGTGTGTGAATGGAAGCACTGACCTTAGGCTGAATTTAACTACTAAGAATAAATAAAAAGGAAAATAACTCTAATAATCTTGTATATTTGTTTTCTTCCTCAAAAAGTCAGTGAATACGTAGCCCATGATCAATTCAGGGAAGTGTAGGTTACTGAAATTAATACAGCCTAGGAAATCTAAATAAATGTAAACCTGCCTGACTCAGTGCATTATTGGATGCCTCAGTGAATTAATATGTGCCTCTGGCATTAAGATTTACAAAGAAATCTCAAAAAATCCAAATATTTGTAGCTCTTTGCCCAACAGACATAATCAAATATTTCTGTATGAAAGATGTTCTCCAGAGGAATAGGAAGAATATATAGAATTTTCCTACATTTCATCTGTAGGAAAACAAGTATCCATTATAAAGTATACTCCATAACTAGACCAGGTTTGGTACTCTTACAATAATAGCATGGAAAAAGAAAGAAAAGCAACAAGAAAAAGTCTGATAGGAGTATATCTGAGGGAACTTCCTAGAGTGCTTATAGTAATAATGGCAACGAATCCAGCACCTGGCCTATCATGGTGGACTTTAACTCCCAAGCACTACCAGGAAAAGAAATTCTTATAACTCAGCGAAATCAGTCACAATTACATATGAGTGACAGGCCAGCCCCCTGGAGCAGAGAACAGAATGAAGAATGGAAGATGAATCTGAAAGGGCAAATGGAAGATAGCTTATATAATGCCTACCTCATATCACAAAATTCATTCCAAGTATATTATTAAACATAAATGGGAAGTATATGCAGACAAGAGAGTATCTCTAATACCTCATGCATGGAAAAATTCCTTAAGCAATTATGAAAAAACAGATTGAGAAATTGGACTCTATTAAAATTAAGAACTCTGTTCCCAAAAATATACTATTAAGAGAGTAAATTTGTTTGTAGTTTGAAAAACCAAACATCAGAGTGTGAGAAGATATTTATGTTGGCTCACAACCTTGAGAGTTCCCCAGGTGAAATCTGAAACTGGCCCCAGTACATGGAGGACAAGGAGAGACCTAAGAAAGAGTCAGACCACTCCAGATTGGCAGGTGGCAGGTTTAATAAGCAAGGAAACCTATGTACAAGGTTCGGCTTGGGTGTAAAATGAGTAGATCTCTACACCTGCCCACCAGAATTTAAAGTTTCTAGAGCCTTTAAACTGGGTTCAGTCATAGTTCAATCCAGATGGTCTCAACAGCACCTTACTCACTCAAGGCTACTTCCTTGAAATAGCTCTGGCTGTGGGAACGGTGGCTCAAATCTACATTCCAGAACGAGGGAGGGAGTGAGGAGCCTAGATTCAGCTCTTGGGTCGACCTGCAGTCACGTCCTCTCGATGACCTCCTCCAACAATTTGTAACACTGACAGAGGTACATATCCAAAATATATAAACATTATTCCTAAAAATAATGTTTATACATAACACAACAGAAAATATATAAGAAAGTTGAATGGGCATTTCACAAATAAAGGATATCTAAATATCCAAAATAAAAACTAATCAACTTTATTAGTAATCAAGAGAAATACAAATTAAAATAAATGAAATACTACCATGCACTCATCAGAGAGGCTAAAGTTAGAGATTTTTGAATGCTAAAAGTATTGATGAGGATGTGGCACAATGGAAATTTTTACACACTGCTTGATGGGAGGTTGTGAAGACTTCGAAAAGCCATTTGGCGGTATCTACTAAATTTGAACATATACACACTTCACAGTCCCGCAATTTCACTTCTATGTTTTATCTTCACCAAAAAAAAAAAAAAAAAAAAAAAATGCTCACAGCAGCATTGTATTTGACATAGCCCAAACTAGAAACAACCCAATGTCCAACAATAGCAGAACAAATAAATTGTGGTATATTCATACAGTGGAATGTTATGTAACAATGAGAATGCATAAGCAAGTAAGCCAGCAATAGAAGAATACATGTTGTGTAATTCTACTTATATAAACTTCAAAAGCAGCTTAGCTTAGAGGTTACAAGTCAAGATAGTGGTTAGTTTTAGGGAGAGAAATGGAGTCATGATGGGGGACATAAGCAAGGCTTCTGGATTCCTGGTGATATTTTGTTTCTCACCTGGTTAGCGGTTATAAAAGCATATTCACTTTGTGAAAATTCATGATTTGAGTACTTTTAGAAATCATAGGTCACTTTAAAGTTTTTAAAAATTAATGGTGTGCAAATAGGGATATAGGGAAGCCTCTCTGAAGAAGCCAGCCATATAAAGATAAGGAAAAGTACATTCATAGGACAAATAAGCAGCCAGTGCAAAGGCCCTAGGTTGAACAATCCTAAGGAACAGAAAGAAAGCTGCTGTGACAGAGCCTGTGTGAGGGGAGAGTGTATAAGGTAGAGAGGCAAGATCACCTATGCTAGTGTTAAGGGGCTGAGATTTTATACTAAGCGCCATTTTTCTGTCTCCAAATCCAAGGATTATTTTACTGTACAGTTGAGAAATGTAAGACCTTAGAAGAAAATTAAAGGGATTGAAGTTGAGAATGAATTTATGAAAGTCTAATAAATATTTTTATGTTCAATTACAACAAAATAAAATTGATCAAGAACCCTCCCTCCAAAAAATTAATGGGCTTTTTTCCTTTGAAGGATTTTGCAATAGAACTGTATCTCATAAAGACCCTATTATTGTCTCTTGGTTTAAATTATGATCCCAGGAAACTGGTCCAGTTGAGGAGACATGAGCTTGACTAATTATGTGACCCTGGCCAAGTCACAACTTCCTTGAGCCTCAGTTCCCTTAACTATAAAATGAAGGGGTTGAGAGTACTATCTTCTAAGACTTTTCCAGGTCTAAAATTCTATTATTCAAAGTCACTTAAATTCTCACTGCTTTAGTTTTCCTCAAGAACAAAGTAACAATAGCTGTTACTCCTTACCTGAAACATTTCCTGGGGATGTCTTCATACATTAATTCTAAGATAAGTGATATTGTTACCAATAATCCTCACTTTAATTTTCTGAGTATTAACTCTTCTGTTAACGCATTAGAAGCAGGACTCTTGGAGAAGTTACTAAGTAGTGTGAAAAAGTAATAATTCTTACGGTAAAACATTGATGCCCAAAGGTGTTGTGTCATAAAATATAGTGACTATCCATCAATAATGTTTGTTTCTCTTTCAGACTTCCTAAGAAATTTTTCTTAAGAAGAAATTTCAGTCAAATGATATTACCATGATCTCTCTTCTGGTCCTCCCTGCCATGCCTGCAAGCTTTGCTTCTTCATTCATCATTTGTAATAACATACAATAATGAAGCAAACTCTAAGAGATGATCAATGGAAGAAAAATTTGTATACAAACTCAGACAAGTCAAAATTTTTATGATACCCCATTAAGAGGTAAAAAGACAAACAGGACATTCATTAAGTATAGAAAAATATTATCACTAATGATTAAATAAATACATGTTTGAAGGAGCTATCAATTTTTACTTATGAAATTGGCAAATAGTTTGAAAGTGAAACTACCCCATGTTGGTAGGTATTTGTTGAAATTGGCACTAGCACACATAGCTCAGGGTTTTTTAAACCCATACAAATCTCAGGAATAGCAATTTGGAAATGTGTATCAAGAGTCTCTAAAAGCTTCATAACTTTGACTAATAATATTACTCCCAGGAATCTATCAGGAGAAAAAATTCCAAACTCTAAAAATGTTTTATGCATAAAGATATTCATCACAGTTTTATATACTATACCAAAATTTTTTTTAACTAATTCTAAGAATAAAAAATCAAAGTATGATACATATAAACAATGAAATATAAAAAAATCTTTTATTTATGAGAAACAGGATCTGACTTATCATATAATCTCAACTGTTAAAATGAAGTAGGTTAAAAAGAAGTAGGGAAGTTGAGAAAACATTGAGGAAAAAGCAATATTAATAAAGTTATAAAAATGTAAACACTGAATATAAATTTAACCAAAAATAGGGATATGGTTATATTTGTAGAATTAGTGGATGGGGAAGAATGTATATTCCAGAAAAAAACCCCAAAAATACAAACCAAAAAAATGGTTAAAAGAGCTGAAGATAGTTACATGGGAAGATAGCTTTGGAGCAGAGATTGCACTAGTACTCTTCCCTATATAAATTATATAAACAAATTAGTTTCATAAAAAATAAAAATTAAATGAAAAAAGGCAAAAGGTTGAAAATAACTATACCAAAGTATTAATAGAAGTTTTCTTTAGGAAGTTAGTTTTTAAATTTTTTATTCTTTTGTATTCTCACATTTTCTATGATAATCATGTCTTAAAAATCAAAGAGTAGAAAAACAGGAGGGCCTTGTCTTTCATTTGTGTGCTTTACATTTACATGGTGTTTTTAATTGTTTCATCTCACTTAATCCTCATAACAACCCTGTGAAGCAGATATTATAATCCTGAATTTTATCATGAAGAAAATAAGAAGTGATGAAACTTACAAAAGGTAATTTATATAACTACTGGCACTTTTTATTCCTATACCACAGAGTATTGATAATTTAAAAATAAAGAAGAAAGATGTAGATAGAAGAGAGGAAAACTATGGTTAGTGTTAAAGGTAAAATGGAGACTGGGTATGGTACCCCAGTGAAAGGCAAAATTATTGGAAATGTCAAGGCCACTCATTCTAAACCATTTATGTACACAATTTAATGTAACTTATGCACAAAATTAACTGTCAATATAATAAGGATTTGCATATCAGGCTTACAGCATATAAATTCAAACAGGAAAACTAGATTCCTTTTCAGATCTATTCAGAGGAGGTAAGATAGAAGCTGGTCCCCTCTCTTGGTAATTCAGGCAATTGGGAAAGTCAGTCTAGTGAGCATGTAATGAATGATTCCTATGAAAGCAAAATACTTTTTTTAACATAAACTCAAAATTATAGCTATATACACTTGAGACTGTGGTTTTCTTATTATTTGATTCTTAGGATGACAAATTAGTCAAACCAAATATGGAATGAAATGAAATTATACATAAAAATATTTTATGAGCTTTGTTCATCTTCTCTACATGAGAATATATACTTTATCTTTTTTAGCACTTCCTATTCCAGTACACTTTATTTTTTTATAACAATAATTTATTAAAAAAAAATTTTTTTTCTATTCTTTTTCAAAGTCTTTTCCCATTTAGGTTATTACAGAATATTGAGCAGAGCTTCCTGTGCTATACAGAAGGTCCCTGCTGGCTATCTATCCTAAATATCACAATGTGTACATGTCAATCTGAAACTCCCAGTCTATCCCTCCCCACCTCCCCACCCCCTGGTGACCATAAATTCATAGTGAATATATACTTTAAAAGCTGAGATGGAATGCTGTCTCCTAGGTGTCACTTTCTCTAAACTCTGGAGACAGATTGAATTACTTCCCCCTCCACACTTTAACATTGCTGGAATATTTATCACAATGAATCATAAATAATTATTTACAGGTCTATCTATCCTGCTAGATAATGAGTTTTAAGAGGGCAAAGGCTATAGATTATTCATGTTTTATTCTCAGTACCAAATAAAATGTCTGGCTACAAAATAGGTCCTGGCAAGAACTTATTTGAATTAATACTGAGCTATCCAAAGAAGACAATTCATAAGTCCAATGAAAAGGAAATACACTGAAAAGACAGAGTCCATTAGATTTACTGTAAATCCTCTACTTTCTTTTAGGCACCATCACCAAAGACATAGTTTTAATATACAATTCAAATACTACTTTCACCATTAAGTTTCTCCTGATTTTTCCAGGTTACATATATCTGTTCCTTTCTCTGCACTTCCAGTCTCGTTTCACCTCTATCAAAAGCCTTCACTCACTTTCCTCTTTTTATTTTTAAAAAATTCTTTAAAGGAACAACAGCCCATCTTATTTATCTTTTAATATACAAGATCTACCTACCATTGGCCTAGCACATAATACACGCTCAATGTTTGCTAAGTAGCAATTTATTAGACTTGAAAATATTCAACAGGTTATAGACAGTTTGTATAATTTCCATTATAACCAAGATGAAGGCCAGAGTAGTCTTAGGAGCCTTTCGTCTTCCTGATGAGTCCTTCTATTGTGTCCCACTGCTCCCTGGTGACCTACCACAAAAAGAAAAAGTCAATTTAATGAGGTTCTTGTGTGTTTTTAAAGCTTAGTATCCTCACTGCCAATATTATATTATACTCACAAAATGGCATTACCTTCCTCAGACTGTTGAATTCCCCTGAAATAAGTACTTCCTCACCACCATCAAATCGAATTACCTGAAAAATAATAATAAAAGCTGTGAAACTAACTTCTTTTAAAAAGTTTCTGAACCATTAGCCATTTCTCCCTCCTAACTGGATAGAATATCTCCTTGGCACTTTCAATCAAAGCCTAAATTTTAAGGACAAAACTGATGCTTAAACCTAAATTGATTTACTCTCTTTAAAATCCTCTCTCCATCATTTCTACAATTTCAAATTATACCCAATCTTAAAGTTCATCTTAGAGGCATGTCTACCAGAGTGATTTACATTTAATAAAATTAATTTATCAATGAATCAACTCCATAAGCTAAACAATATATATTAATATTTCTATATTATAAATAATATACTAAATACAGCTGATTAAATACTTTAAATCATATTTACATTCAACATCGTCAGGATTGGTTCTACAATCCACCTCCCCACGCCAAATCCACCTCCCAAAAAAGTTGAGAGACAACAATGCTTACAGCTCCATTAATCCAAGAAGCATAATCACTACAAAGGAAAGCAGCAAGATTTGCAAGTTCTTCCACAGTTCCTAGCCGACCACAGGGAATTCTGTCAATCACTTCTTTTTCAAAAGCTCCAGTTGGGTCAAGACGGCTAAAGGCACCCTTAGGAATTAAGAAAATAATTAGGTTGCTTTTTTTTTTTTTTTTTTTTAATACAACCTCTTTCCTATTTAAGAAACAAATTTGCAGTAAATGGAATGTTACTATGGCAACCTGTTCATACCTTAGTACTTGTAAGCAACAGAGAGTTTTGCCAAATTCTTCCATATTCATTTTACCCAATATTGACCTTTAAAAAACCACTAGAAAGGACAGAAGGAAAAAGGAAAACCAGATTGGAGGGACTCCATGATTCTTCTCCAAGGTATTTCTAAATGGGCTTAGGAATATAGCATGCTTCATTTCCAGAATGTTTCTGCAGTGATTCAGCCATGTGGAGGACAGGCTCTTAGTCCTCCAGCCAGGAGTAAGGGCTGTGCCACTGAGGTGGGAGAGCCACATTCAGGACACTGGTACACAAGACACCTCCTAGCTCCATGTAATATCAAACGGCAAAAAATCTCCCACAGATCTCCATCTCAACGCCAAGACCCAGCTCCACTCAATGACCGGCAAGCTACAGTGCTGGACACGCTATGCCAAACAACTAGCAAGACAGTAACAGAGCCCCATCCATTAGCACAGAGGCTGCCGAAAATCATAAGGCCACAGACACCCCAAAACACACCAACAGACGTGGACCTGCCCACCAGAAAGACAAGATGCAGCCTCATCCACCAGAACACAGGCACCACTCCCATCCACCAGGAAGCCTACACAACCCACTGAACCAACCATAGCCACTGAGGACAGACACCAAAAACAACTGAAACTAAGAAAATTATAAGACACTGATGAAAGAAATTAAAGATGATACACATAGATGGAGAGATATACCATGTTCTTCGATTGGAAGAATCAACAATGTGAAAATGGTTCTACTACCCAAAGCAATCTACAGATTCAATGCAATCCCTATCAAACTACCAATGGCATTTTTCACAGAACTAGAACAAAAAATTTCACAATTTTCATGGAAACACGAAAGACCCCGAATAGCCAAAGCAATCTTGAGAAATAAAAACAGAGCTGGAGGAATCAGGCTCCCTGATTTCAGACTATACTACAAAGCTACAGTAATCAAGACAGCATGGTACTGGCACAAAAACAGAATGGAACAGGATAGAAAGCCCAGAGATAAACACCATACACAAAAATAAACTCTAAATGGATGAAAGACCTAAATGTAAGGCCAGTCACCATCATATTTAGAGGAAAACATGGGCAGAACACTCTATGACATAAATCACAGCAAGATCCTTTTTGACCCACCTCCTAGAGAAATGGAAATAAAAACAAAGATAAACAAATGGGACCTAATGAAACTTAAAAGCTTTTGCACAGCAAGGAAACCATAAACAAGATGAAAAGACAACCCTCAGAATGGGAGAAAATATTTGCAAATGAAGCAACTGACAAATGATTAATCTCCAAAACATACAAGTGACTCATGTAGCTCAATATCAAAAAAACAAATAACCCAATCCAAAAAATGGGCAGAAGACCTAAATAGACATTTCTCCAAAGAAGATATGCAGATTGCCAACAAACACAAGAAAGAATGCTCAACATCATTAATCATTAGAGAAATACCAATCAAAACTACAATGAGATATCATCTCACACCAGTCAGAATGGCCATTATCAAAAAATCTACAAACAGGGCTTCCCTGGTGGTGCAGTGGTTGAGAATCTGCCTGCTAATGCAGGGGACACGGGTTCGAGCCCTGGTCTGGGAGGATCCAACATGCCGCAGAGTAACTAGGCCTGTGAGCCAGAACTACTGAGCCTGCGCATCTGGAGCCTGTGCTCCACAACAAGCGAGGCCGTTATATTGAGAGGCTCGCGCTCCGCGATGAAGAGTGGCCCCCTCTTGCCACAACTAAAGAAAGCCCTCGCACAGAAATGAAGACCCAACACAGCAAAAATAAATTAATTAATTAATAAAGTCCTACCCCCAACATCTTAAAAAAAAATGGGAAGCATCTTTAAACTCTCCTTAAAAAAAAAAAATCTACAAACAATAAATGCTGGAGAGGGTGTGGAGAAAAGGGAACCCTCTTGCACTGTTGGTGGGAATGTAAATTGATACAGCCACTATGGAGAACAGTATGGAGGTTCCTTAATAAACTAAAAATAGAACTACCATATGACCCAGCAATCCCACTACTGGGCATATACCCTGAGAAAACCATAATTCGAAAAGAGTCATGTAGCAAAATGTTCATTGCAGCTCTATTTACAATAGCCAGGGCATGAAAGCAACCTAAGTGTCCATCAACTGATGAATGGATAAAGAAGATGTGGCACATATATACAATGGAATACTACTCAGCCATAAAAAGGAACGAAACTGAGTTATTAGTAGTGAGGTGGATGGACCTAGAGTTTGACATACAGAGTGAAGTAAGTCAGAAAGAGAAAAACAAATACCTCATGCTAACACATATATATGGAATCAAAAAAAAAAATGGTCTGAAGAACCTAGGGGCAAGATGGGAATAAAGATGCAGACCTACTAGAGAATGGACTTGAGGATACAGGGAGGGGGACGGGTAAGCTGGGACAAAGTGAGAGAGTGGCATGGACATATATACACTACCAAACGTAAAATAGATAGCTAGTGGGAAGCAGCCGCATAGCACAGGGAGATCAGCTCAGTGCTTTGTGACCACCTAGAGGGGTGGGATAGGGAGGGTGGGAGGGAGGGAGATGCAAGAGAGAAGAGATATGGGGACATATGTATAACTGATTCACTTTGTTATAAAGCAGAAACTGACACACCATTGTAAAGCAATTATACTCTTATAAAGATGTTAAAAAAAACACTAGAAAATATAACTTTTACCTTAGTTTCTTCATATGTAAAATGAGGATGCCTGTTTTAGCTATTTCACAAAATTGTTGTCTGAGAAATGAGAAAATGCATATGCAAGTACTCTGAAATATGTACAAATTTAGTGTGGTGGAGGTAGGGCTGCTACTGTCATTTGATTTAGTAAACACAGGAAAATGATTCAAATAGGAAATATTTAAGAGGAAATTCCTTTGCTTCTCCTTACTTCTCAAAATAATAGAAAAGGAAGAAAACAAGTATGTAGGAATATTAAATTCAAGTAGATTCCAGAGAGAGAAAAACATTAACTAAATTTGCCAAACAATTTCTGCCTTCTGTTAATGATAAAAAGGAGCAGACCCTAACACACCACTGTATTGCAATTATACTCCAATAAAAAAAAAGGAGCAGACCAAGATAAAGTATGCATGCGTGTTGATTAATAAAAATAATTGGCTTTTTCTCTACCAGTGCCTGTAAGTCTAGGTGACAACTCTCTTCAATAACACAGACATGAGACATAGCAAGCACACACAGGCTCCTTGAGAGCACTTCAGCTCTCCCTAGGCAGGTATAAAGCATCAAAGAAAAAGGGTAGACAAAGGTCCCAATCCTGGTTCTATCAGTGCTTGCTAGAGAGTTTCTATACTTCAATTTTCTTAAATCTCTTTAAAACTATATGCATGTTATTTGCATAAAACTTACACCTATACTGCTAGACTAAAAGTTGATGGCAAGCATCTGTCACAAATGTTTTTGTATCTTTCTTATTAGCACCTTTGCATACAGAAGGCACTCAGTAAGTACATGTTAAATATATAATAAAATGCAGATGATCTTTCCTAGATACTGAGGTCCTAGAAAGAAGTTTCTATGACTATATATAAGATAGTGCTTAGCACAATGCTATTCTGAATCATGTGTTTTAATATGTGCCTTTAAATTATTTTTCCATTAATTTTATTATTTTTTATTACATAAGTGCCAAACAAATAAGATATTCAGTCAAGTTTCACTCACTCAGGTAGTTGTTCTTTCCATTTTCCACCCTTCAAACTGCTAAAAAAATTAATACAACCATCTCCATGTTAATATTTAATACCCCAGAACCATCTACAAGCCAAATACTCCTTTGCATTATTTTCAGTTTATACAACAGAAACAACTTAGCAAATTTCACCTGGGCCTTCAAAGAAACATCCCAGTTGGGATTATAAATTCTTGCTTTACACGGAAACAAAAAGAAGTATGAGAGTGAAGTCATTTGGGGTAACGTGAGAGAACAGAGAACCTGTGAACCTTTCACGCAACATCTGTAACAGCATTAGTGATAATTATGAGTTGCAATATCTGATTTCAGGTGAAATGCATGCCATCAGAAGGATTTTTAATCAGAGAGACATGGGAATTAGATGATGTGCATAACAGTGTTTGAAAGTGAAAAGGCACAGACATGTGTCAAAGAAAATGTTGCCTATAACAAGACCAAGCTTGTATGATAAATTTCTAAAGCATCTCTTAAATTTAAAATATAGTTACATTTCCTTTTTTTTAAAAAAAACATTTTTATTGGGGTATAATTGCTTTACAATGGTGTGTTAGTTTCTGCTTTATAACAAAGTGAATCAGTTATACATATACATATGTTCCCATATGTCTTCCCTCTTGCGTCTCCCTCCCTCCCACCCTCCCTATCCCACCCCTCCAGGCTGTCACAAAGCACCAAGCCAATATCCCTGTGCCATGCGGCTGCTTCTCACTAGCTATCTACCTTACTACGTTTGTTAGTGTGTATATGTCCATGACTCTCTCTCGCCCTGTCACAGCTCACCCTTCCCCCTCCCCATAACCTCAAGTCCATTCTCTAGTAGGTCTGCGTCTTTATTCCTGCCTTACCCCTAGGTTCTTCATGACATTTTTTTTTTCTTAAATTCCATATATATGTGTTAGCATACGGTATTTGTCTTTTTCTTTCTGACTTACTTCACTCTGTATGACAGACTCTAGGTCTATCCACCTCATTACATTTCCATTTTAAAAAAGGATGTCAAAGAACCTTTAAAATATAGTAAAAATTAAGAAATATAACACAATAACAGATTAAAGCAAATCAGACAAAATGCCAAAATTGATGGCATAAAAGATCCCAGAAAGATTACGACACTGAAATAGACCTTATCAAGGAGTTGTATAGCTGCTGTATTCTTGCCCACCTCCTTATTTCTTATGTTGGATAATGGCAAAACCCTCTTCCCTTCCACCAGGGCTCCAAACTAAGGTATCGCTGGAAAATCCTGCACACATGAGAATCTATCTATCTATCTTTCACTCCTTAATCCCTCAAAATGTGATCATAAGCAAACCAAAACTTACTTTGGTTTTTATAGGCCCCGGTTGAATCACGTTGAATCTCATTCCATATTTACCCCATTCAGCTGCAAGAGACCTAAAAATTAAACAACACAGATTCTAAAATATTATACTATATATTAAAAATACTATTAACCAAGACTGCATGCTTATTAAATGCCAGAGACTATAACTCCAATAGGTAGGTACTATTATTATTCCCCCTGTTACAGACAAGGAAACTGAGGCACAGAGAAGTTAAATCATTTGCTCTGGGTCATATGGCTAGTGAGTCAACCTGTAGCAGTCTAGCTCTGGAGTTTGTGCCCTTAGTCACACTCTGCTGTACTATCTACCATTTACACTTTAGTGTCCTTAAGCACTATGCTAGATGACCTACTATTCACATTTTGAACGAAGTCCAATATCAATACACATTTTTAAAAAGGGTATCATTATTTAGCACAAAGAAGGAAGAGATTCATGTCTCTCCCCCACATTTTCTGGAGTTCAGTCCTGCACTTATAAAGTTCAATGTAACTTTACTCATAGTACATTAGATTACAACGTTTGCAACATTACAAGTGCCTTAATTGAGTAAGAGATGGATTACATAGATTTAAAATATTAACCATATCATGTCTAACTAGGCTTTAATACAATTGTTGAACTGAGCTAAAAAGGAAATAAGAATCTAAAAGAATCTTGCTAAATGCCCTGAAGCAAAATAGAACACTAATAGCAAACATGAAACCTTGAAGAAGCAACCTGTTTTAAAAGCCTACTTGGGACTTCCCTGGTGGTGCAGTGGTTAAGAATCTGCCTGCCAATGCAGGGGACACGGGTTCGAGCTCTGCTCCGGGAAGATCCCACATGCCATGGAGCAACTAAGCCCATGCGCCACAACTACTGAGCCTGAGCTCTAGACCCCGAGAGCCACAACTACTGAGCCTGAGTGCCACAACTACTGAAGCCCGTGCACCTAGAGCCCGTGCTCCGCAACAAGAGAAGCCACTGCAATGAGAAGCCCGTGCACCACAACAAAGAGTAGCCCCCACTCGCTGCAACAAGAGAAAGCCCATGCGCAGCAATGAAGACCCAATGCAGCCAAAAATAAATTTTAAAAAAAAAAGCTTACTTGATAGATATGTCTTTTTATTACCTAAACTTATTTTAGAAATTTAAATTCATATGTACATTTGTGTGCATATACTTAATCTACTTTAAAAAAATGATTTAACGTAACTTAAGAAATACATGTAATGCAAATGAAGAAGATAGAATTACTTGAAAAGAAAGAAAACAAACAAAACAAGGATAAGGAAATATAAGGAAGTCAAGAATGAAACTTATAACTAAATGTATTGTGATATTCCATATAATTATAATAGGCAGGTGAAAAACTTGTATCTACTCCTTCCATGATGCTATGCAAAAGGTAAGCCTAATCAGTTACACAATTCACACTGCCCATAACGAAAAAAGCAAGCTAATCTCTCAGGAAAAACACAATTGTTTCTGACAAAAAAATTTAATAAAACATTTCTTCCAAGAAAACGTATAAAAGGAAAATTGTGTAGTATAGTAATGTCCTTAAGACACTGTATCCTTGCAATAGATACAAAGGGATAAGTTTTGTATAATTATAAGATATCTATTAACATAAGCTTTATGTAATTATAAGATACTCACTAAGATAAGCATTAACATTAACAATGCTTTATAAAGCATTGTGTTCCAAGTACAGTCTGTTAATCTGATTAATCCACTGGTACATTTTAGAGAAATGGGCTGCATCTCTTTCAGGCAAATCATACATTAAAAACTGCTTTTCTGAGTGATACCTTTAACAGAGTCCAAGACCATACCTACCCTGGGTATGTACTTGTAGTGCACCTACTAGATTGCTAGGAAAGTAGTAGCTGTGTGTCTTAACAGAATTACTGAGCTGAGCAGAGTTTACAGCATTCTGTGAAAAACTGGGCAAGTTATTAAGGAAACTGGCTTAAGAGGAAAAGCCATGCTATCTCTATTCATAGGTGCAACAGATAAATTTGTTCTAGTGCTAGCTCTTATAACCTAGTTTATATTCTCAAGATCTACTGTAACATGAGGAATCCACCTCACTGGCTCTCTGTGCATGTTAAGATGCTAAGTACAATATACTCAATAATGTTAACCATTATTGTTTTTCAATCAACAGGTGTTTATTGTGAGCTTACTATATGCCAATACCCTCAAACAAAGAAAGGCAGCCCTGCTTTCAGGAGATAGTCCCTCTCTCAAGAGAGGTCGCTTTAGTTGTATAAAGAACTAGATACTACTATCCTGGAAACTGTGTAATATGTGCCAAGGCTACGTAAAGGAAGAAGTATCTATGCCTTCCTGAAGTACATGGAAGGCTTCCCTCAGGAGGTGATAATTGAGCTGACACTTGAAGAAGGATTAGGAGTTTTTTGTGGGAGTAAGGGGGAAAGAAGAGGATGGGAGATATTAGAAGGTAGGCTGGAAAAAAGAAGACAGCCCAGGCACATGGGCCAGTGTGAGTAAAGGACAAAGGCATAAACAACATGCAGTATTCAGGGACCTACAAGACCTTATCTGGTATGATTGTGTACTATAAAATATGAAAGATGGCTGATGGGAACACGGGCTGGGGAGGAAGGTACACATTTATTGAGCATCTGCTATGTGCAATTCACTATGCAGTAATACAAAAAAAGCAGCACAGAATCATAGTCCTTAAAAGACATGAAATTGAAACCTCTAACAAGAGTCAAAGATCTCAACAAAACAAATATTGTACAAATGGTGCCAAAATAGTCAAGTTCAAATCCCTTATTTCCAATACCATTTGACCTTAAAAAAAAACCCCAAAATGGTAATTATCTCTATTCAAACTAAACTGCTGAGTAAAGTATGACTTCTTTGTATCTCAAACAAATGTGTATTACTGGTTTAAATGTTAAAAAGAACCTTGAGACTACTCGAAAAAGAGAACAATTATGTAGTTCTACAAGCACTGAGCACCAGCTATGTACCCGATCTTGCTGAGCAATGAGTACACAAAGATGAATAAGATATGCTTTCTTCTCTCACAGACACACATTCTAGTGGGGAAGTCATATAGCTTTAATGATATGTTAAAAATAGTCTACAGTGCCCTTCTCTGTGCCCCTTCATTTTAGAATCTACAACACCGGATGGCATTTATTAATGTGTTAGTCTTCTCACTAGACTGGAATAAACAAAGTTTTAAGGGTGCAAAGAGTAGAGGATGGTTAATTCTCTTCTAGAGAAATGAAAGTAAATATCCCAGAGGAGGTGATACAAGCGCCCTGAAGGGAGGCAAAATATCACAGCAAATTCCAACAACAGCATCACCCAGGCATAGAAATATGAAAATGCGTGGTGTGTTTAAGAAAATATAGAGCACAGGAATGATGGTAATTAAAAGCACAGGAATAACAGTAAAAGAATGCAAGTTCAGGTGAGAATGAGGACTGTTCTATTTCCATCACTATCATATCCCTGTATCCCATGTACACAAAAGATACACAATACATATTTATCAAATAAGTCAATGAATAAAGAAAGGCCAGGGACAAGTCTGTTTAGAATACCATATTGAGTTTTGGCTTTTATTCCAAAGAGTAATAGAAAAATGATATAAGGTTTTTAACTAGGCATTATAATAAGCAGATATACATTTGTAGAAAGATGAGTCTGGTGGGAATGTGAATAAAAAATAAAGAGAAAAGAAACTGGTAGCAGAGAAACATATTATGGGGTTATTACAGTAAGCAAGACAAGCAATGATAAGACCTTACATTACAACTAAGACAGTAGAAAAGGCCAATGGGGAACAGATTCAAAAATCAATCATATGCTGCTGAGAAAAGGCCAAAAGGGCTGACAAGTGGTCACTGTCTATATTAGTTCTATTAATCGTGTATAGTAGGTACAATAAAAGGATGAAGGTATGTTTAAGAGAGGTCAGAGGGGGCACTAGTAAAGATACATGGATACACTAGTCTGAGTTCCTATAAGCCTTTTTCTCATACTTTATAATACACAGTCATACTGGATAAGTAATTAAAATTAAATAAAATTTAGTTTCTCAGTCACAGTAGCCAGAATGCAAGGGTTCAATGGCCACATATAGCTATTGGATACTGCAGATTTACAGAACAGTTCGATCATTGCAGAAAATTCTATTGGACAGTGCTGCTGTAGACAAATAGGACCTATTCATGAAATAGAATGTCTCCTGGTGAATCCAAATTAGTCTTTGTTTTATTTTTCTCTGGAAAGAGACTAGAAAGCAGGAATTTAGTTACACAAGCTACCAAAGCACATTATTTATCTTCAGTGACAGGATTAACACAGTAGTACTCACTTGTTCATGGCCTCCACTCCTGCTTTGGCAGAAGCACTTGGTACTACAAAACCTGACCCAGTCTCAGCATAGATGGTTGTAATAGCAAGAAACGATGCTCCTGACATTTTAAAATGATACAGTAATTAACAATACAGCTAAATCAATTCACATCAGGAAAACATTATTTATAATAATGGGATCTAATTCAAGAGGGTATAACAAAAACTGAAGAAATTTTCAAAACTTCACTAAACCTAAATTAATGAAAGAGTAATCTAATAAAATTGCTACATCTTTGCTAGTAATCTTGCTGCCGTTCAGGATGGTCCAGTCTGTGCTTAATTAAAATTCTATACCAGGTGAGTCAATACCAAGGCTCAAATCTCAAAGGTATGGCCCTATTATACCCTGCATAATCAGCTGGACAGGATTTCCATTAACCCATTTATAAGAATAAATCGGAACCAAAACTAAATTAGCAGGGACTTCTGCCTCCAGCATCATGGATTTGTCCTCCTCCTGTAAACACAAAGAAACTGTATCAAATATATGATACCACTATTTTCAGATACTGTTTAGCAGGCAGGGAAAGATGGCAATTCCTGAGAGAAGAAAAACAAATGAAATGAGCCCTAAGATCAGATTTTGCCTAAAGGTACTGTACGTATACCATAGTATGTACTATATACTACATATATATACATACTATATATTCTATATTACATACTCTATATTATACTATATACATATGTCATATAGACTGTGGCATAAGGAGTAGGAAAATAGCCAAATAAGGCATTATCACTGAGTTGAGGAGACAGATCAGATTTTAGAGAGACTGAGGAAGTTGCAATTTGTGAGGAGAGTTCCCCCAAAGAGAAAAGTATGTAAAGATAGAGCCCCATAAATCTGCATAGTGTATCCTTGAGTCTCTGGCCAAATATCAAGCTGTACATGTTTAGGGTAAGATTCCATAAGGCCCGGCAAAGAACAACTGCCTGGGAACCATAAGCTGAACAATTCCCAGAGTACACAGAGGGCTGGGAGATAAGTGAGTCTGAGCAGCTTTGTTGAATATCCAGCGCTTTCAGTGGAAAAGTTCAGAAGGGCTGTGCATTAATAGGAGGGTTAAATTAGCCCAAAAGTAAAGTCTACTCTAGACTCACCCAAATAAAGCTTAAAAATGAACACTGAACTGATCAAGCTGGTCCACAAGTTTTTAATTCAAAGGGAAATTAAAACGCATACACATATGTGGACACCACACACACACACACACACACACACACACACACACCACCACCACCACCACCACCACCACCACCACCACCACCACCACCA